AAAAAAAAAAAAAAAAAGAGGTGAGAATTCAGGAATTGGGGTAGAACAGGTTTAATAGCAGGAGCAAAGAATACAAGATAGGTTACAGGTAAGGGCTGGTCAGAGACATACACAGGAGCGGACTTAGTAAGATGAGAAGTCAGGGGTCCCTCAATAAAGTGACAGGGCAAAAGTCAGCTAAAGTTATAACTCGTAGGGTGGCTAGAGTCAGTTTGGGGTCTGAGCATCACACCCAAAGCATAAGGATGTGCTTTGCTGAGGTCAGAAGTCAGAGTTCAGAGCCCTAACCCAGCTTCAGGGAAGGCTGTGTGGGACAGGAGGCCAGGATAAGGGGTCGGGAGTTGGACAGAGCTAAACCTCGTCAGGGTACAGCTAGGTTTGGTGGAGAGGTCCTGTGCCCAGCCAAGAGGTGGTGATGGCTGGGAGGAGGGAGATCTGGGTCAGGATGGGCACAGTAAAGCAGCAGGAGCGGCTGAGGTCTGGGCTGCAGTGCTGCCATGCCAGGAGGTAAGGGCAAGAGGGCATCCAGGGCCAGGATCTAGGCTAAAGGCTGAGGCGGGCCTTACCCAGCTGAGGAGAAGAGGGCTCGGTGGCAGCGGAGCTCTCGCTCAGGGCTGAGTTGCTCTGCTCCAGCGGCCGCTTGCGTACGGAGCTGTCAGGCAGGCCCGCGCTGGGCCGATGCCGCTTCTTGTTCTTCACCAGGATACGGCCCATCAGCTCCTGGGGACTGGGTAGGGGGGTGCCCGCAGCCAGCTGGGCAAGCATGGACAGGTCAGGGCCTGCCATGGCACCCCTCACTCCCCATGGGACCTTCCTTGGCTCCAAGCCCCCATACCGGGTACTTATCCAGTGGGTCAATGAGCAGCGCATCCCCAAAGATGGAGCGGCAGTACTCAGCCATCTTGGCCTGCTGCTTAGCCCTGTAAGCGCAAGGTCAGAGGTCAGAGTTCCTGGAGGGGGCTGAGGCAGGGCAGGGAGGGGGCCCACAAGGTGGGTGCAAGGTTCCCAGGGTCAGAGGTCATGAAAGCACAGCGGGAGGACTGTCTCTGGGACCCTCAGGGACCACCATCAGAGACTTCCTTTAATTAGAGATTTCCATGACAGGCATTTCAGATCCAAGGGCCTGAGGGTAGGGTCCCAGGGCCTGGAGCCACTCACGAGTCCACATGGTTCTCGAAGGACAGGATGACAGGGTAGGGTGAGGTCTTGAAGGCACTCTCAGCAATGGCCTCAAGCACGTCACGCAGCGGCACCTCGGTGGTCATGGTGAAGCCGTGGGTGATGAAGGGCTCCTCCTCGGGTGGCCGCCCCTTCCACACGTCCAGCTCCACACAGCGGCAGCCCCACAGCAGTGCTTGGCGATACATCTCCACTGACGATGTCCCAGCCAGCTGCCCCGCTGGGGGTGAGGCTGTATCACCACCTGCCTGCCCAGCCCCTCACCACCCCAGCACCACACTCAACCAGGATACACTGGGTACACAGAGGCTCCTGTGGCAGCCTGGTCCAGCCTGGCACGTTCTGGCCAGCCCCTGCACATTCCTTCGTTCACTGTGGAACCAGCGCCACCTCCCCCAGGATAAGGCTTGGGTCCTGCCCTCACCCCAGTATCCACCTAAGTGGGCACACAGAAGGCATCTGCCAGCTTGGGTTAGGGTGGTCCCTCCTCCAGAACTGGCTTCTCTCTTCTCCCCACCACCCTCCTGCCCTGCCAGCCAGAACTGTGGGAATCCTCCCCTACACCCACCATAGCTCCCCAGAGCCACACCAATCTATGCCTCCCTGTCTTCATTCCCACCACCAGCCTCTCTGGCCTAGAACAGCCTCGCCACCTCCCACCTGGAGGACCACAGGCCCCTCCCTCCCTCCAATTCAATCCCCACAGAGCACCTGGTAACAGCCTTCTACAGGCGTACCAGGTCACCTCCCCTCCCGCTTCCTGCCCTCAAAAACACCTCTCCTACTCAGGAGGAGTCCACAGACCTTCCCTGCCACCGCTCAGCACACACCTGCTCCAGCCCAGATCCCACCTGCCTCTCTGGCCTCCTTTCTTGCTTCTTCTCTTTTATTGAGGGGAGGGGGCTGCTGGGAACTGAACCCATGGCCCTGCACATGCCAGGCAGGTAAGTGCTCTACTACTGAGCTATACACCAGCCTTTTTGATTTGTGTGTGGGAGGGGGATCAATCCCAGAGCCTTGTACATGCAAGGGAGGAGCTCTACCACTGAGCCACATCCCCAGCCCCTGATTTTTCATTTTGAGACATGGTCTTGTTAAGTTGCCCCTCTTGCACACATCTCAGCCCCTCTGCAGGGAAGCTTTCCAACCTCAAAAGGAGCAAACTCCAAGAGAAGCCCCACTTCCAGAGCAGGCTGTTCGTCCCCTGCCGCCTGCCCAGCACTGCCCCACAAATGAACAAATGAGGTAAAAGAACTGTGTCCCCAGGAAAGAGGCAGCTGTGGGCCAGAAGGCAGAGGAGTGCACAGGACAGGCATGCAACGCTCCCCACCACTCACCTGTGAGGTAGGTGTTGTGTGAGGAATTGATGAAGTAGGCGCTCAGGGGCTGGGTCATGTCCATGCTCAGATCCAGTGCTTCCAGGGGCAGGATGCCATTCTCCTCCCCGCCTAGGTAGCGGCTGAAGCCCTCCATGGACATCTGGTCTGAGGTGGAGCAGAGGCAGGTCACCTGGGCCGTTCCCACCCTACCCCACCCTACTCCACCCTACCCTGGCCACTCGCCACTCACCTCGCTCCAGGAACTGCTGGTTAGGCTCATACTTCTCAATGAGCAGCCGGGCCTGGGAGGGCCGCAGGGGTGGGTACAGCACTTCATTGAGTCTCGGATCCCTTTGCTTTTGGTTGATGAAGTCCATGAGCTGCTCCAGCGTCAGGTATGGCTTCCCCTTGGCGCCTCTAAAGGGCCGGAAGCTGGCTCAGGCCGGAGGCTCACCAACACTCCCCCATGCCAAGCCCTCACCCTGGGACAGGGAGTTGAAGGCCTGGGCCTGGCTCCAGCAGCCACAGATTGCAACTCTGGGCAAGTCTCCGCTCCTTCTGGGCCTCAGTTTCCCCATCCACACTCCCACTGCTCAGTGTTGTTGGGGCAGCAGATGAGCTGGCAATGGCATTACCACGGGCTTTGGAAGCTGCTATGCGCTCAGCCATCATCTTGTGCTTCCAGACCCTGGATTCAGTCTTGGCTCCAGCCCTCACTTGCTATGCGGGCTCAAGCAGGTCCCTTAACAAGTCTGGGCCACTTGGCTCTCATAAACCAACCGCGGCAAAGAGCTATCCCTAACTGAGCTACAGAATCTGTGGCTCTGAGCATGGGGACATTATACTCATCCTGCCCCCTTCCCAATGCTCTGGGACCTGGCCCACCAGGCCCCCTGTCTTCACAGGGCTGGAGGTGCACAGAGCAGGGACCAAACACAGGAGCACAAGGGACCAAGAGATAGGCCCAGTGCCGCTCACATCTCCAGCAGGATCTTGTCAATGTCTGGCCGCAGACACAGCTTGTTCAGGAACCGCTCGAAGATTTCCAGAGAAAATTCATCAGGCCGGATGGACTCACTCTGGGGGTGAGGAATAAGGGATGAGAACCTGGGACATCCAGCCCCAAAGGGTGGAAACCCCCAGCACCCCCCATCCCACACACCCGGTTGAAATTGAGGCCGCAGGACTCCAGCGCTGTCTCCACCCGCTTCTTGTCTGCTGAGAACATCTTCAGGATGCTGATTCAGGCAGGAGGGGTCAGGGTCAGTGGGGGGCAAAGGTCACCAAGGTCAGGGCAAGAGAGAAGATGCTGAGGGGAAGGGTGCTCACTTCTTAACGGGAATCCGTCCATCCTGGTTCACCTGCAGCTTCAGTTTTGTGTATCTGGGGAGGGAGGTGCAGGAGTCACACCCTGGGAACAGCCACATGACACACACACACCCCCAGTGCTGCCGGAGTGCCCTGGGCTCACGCTTTTCGCAGGAAGGTGTTCCGGGAAGCATTCTGAGCCAGAATGTTCATAGCCAGCTTGAACAGCTCCTCAGACCAGACCTAGGGGGCCAGCATTGGGGGGAGGAGGTAGATGGGGGAGACAGGAGCCAGGCCTGCCTCACCCCTCACCTAGGACAGGGTCTGGTACACAGCAAGCCAGAGAACTGCATGTAACACAGCAGGTGCTCAGTAAGTGATGAGACAGGGACTCCTCAGGCTGTCCCTCAGCCCCAGCCCACCTTGACAGTGTCGTCCTGCACCGCCATGAAGTTCAAGAACATGGTATTTACTGGGTCTGGCCCAGCCACCACTGTCATTAGCTTCTCCTCCAGCCGGGCATCGGGGCCCCCAAAGCCGAGCACTTCCCGGATCTTGGGGTCCTGAGTGGCAACAGCCAAGGGTGAGGAGTGGTGTCCCTGCCCCTAGGACCTCCTTCCCTCCGTTCTGGGCCACCTCATGCACCTTGGGCAGGCGGGAATAACGTCCTGTCCGCGTGTCCCTGATGGAGCTGATGTCCAGTGTGTCCACTTCCTGGGGAAACCATACCACAGGGTGGCTGAGCAGCTGCAGGGCCAGAATTGGAGCCCCCAGGCTTCCCACTCAGGGTAGGCAGTGGCTGCCCCTCCCCTTAGCGCCTGCTCTTAGCACTTCCTGCCTCGGGAGCCAGCGGGGAGATCAGCCAGCACCCAGGCCCTACCCCAGGGCAGAGGGGCCTGGGCCTGTGATGGCCCAACCAGCACTTGCCCTCACCATGTTGGGTCCTGTCCAGTACAAGAAGAAGCCATTGGGGTCCACACGCAGGGTCACCAGGTTCCGACTAGAGGTCTCCTAAGGATAGCACAGGACAACAGGGCTCAGGGAGGGCTTCCGCAGGCTTGGGCCCTGGGCCCTTCTAGCTGCCCACACCCACGTTCCTGCCAGCAGGCCAAGAAGAAGCCTCATCCAGCCCATAGGCCGCCATGGCTGCCTATGATCCTCAGAACAAAGCCAAGGTCCTCAGTGTGACATTTGGTGTGCTGGCCCCAACATCCCTCCCAGTCTCCTGCCTTTCTCCAGGAGTCTGTTCTTTCCCATCTCTCAGTTTTTGCCTTATCACTCCCTGTGCTAGGAAATCCCCCAACTGAGCTCCATGATGAATCCCCATAATCCCAGCACTGAGGGAGGCTGAGGCAGGAGAGTGGAAAGTTCAAGCCCTTGTGGGCAATTTAGTGAGACCCAGTCTCAACATAAAAATACAGAAGACCGAGCTGGGTGTGGTGGCGCATGCCTGTAATCCCAGCACTCAGGAGGCTGAGAGAGGAGGATCATTGCAAGTTCGAGATCAGCCTGGGCTACAAAGTAAGCTCAAGGCCAGCCTGAACTGCATAGTGAGACCCCATCTCAAAAAGACAAATAAATAAATAAATAAATAGAGAAAACCTGGGTTCAATTCCCAGCAGCACAGAAATAAAACAAAAAGGCCGGGGCTGGGGATTTAGCTCAGCGGCAAAGCGCCTGCCTGGCAAGCGCAAGGTCGTGAGTTCGGTTCCCGGTACCGGAGAAAAACCAAAAAACCAAAAAAAAAAAAAAAAAAAAAAAAAAGGAAATCGTTTCATTAGTTTTCTATCCGTGAATTCTAACCCACCTGCTAGGAAGGGCTCCCCTCACCCTACCCTGGGCTGTTTCCCCAGTTCCCCAGAAGGCCCAAGAGCTCCATGACAGTTAGAGACCTCACCCCAAAGCCCCCTTAGTTGAGCCCATTACAGAAAGACATCTGTGGGATGAAAGCAGGGGGTCTGGAAGTCTGGCCTCGAAAACCCTTCTGTACCCCCCAGGGCCTCATGATGGTTAGCCACTACCCCTCAATCTGCCACCAAGCCCAGCATCTGCCATCTTACACCTCACAGGACCCTCGTGTCCCACAGGCTCACCCCATCTTACAGAGGCACAAGTCATCCAGGGCTGGCCCGTGAGCTGTCTTTTCCCAAACAGCCTTGTGACTGGAGGGGGCAGGGAAGAAACAGCGCACCAGCCCCATTTTCTGAAGAGTGCCCAGTGCCTGGCACATTCCCAGGGCCACCCCAGGCAACTCAAGACTGACTCAAGAACCAGAGAGGTGTTGTCAAGGGCTCAGATTTGCCCAGGATCCAAGTGGCCACAGAAAGAACTCCCCTCCAGTCAAAAGAGGCCCCCACCTCACGTCGGGTGAACTGAACTGCTGCTCACTGTCTGGCGGACAACCCCATCACCAAATATATGGCAGCTTACATTCACGTGACCCCACCACAGGCCAGGGGCAGCTCTAAGGGCTTAGTAGCTGCAACCCTGCTTTGACCTCCTGGCATCCTTATTTTATACATAAGCAAACGGAGGCACAGGAGGATAGGGCTTGCCTGAGGTCAAGAAGGGAACTGTCACAGTGTCCTGTGATCTGGAAAACAGGGAGCCAAGCAAGGTACCCACAGGGCCCCCGCTCCTGGCCTCAGCCACAACCCCACAGTGTTAGGCCTCAGTTTCCACTTCTGGAGAATGGGGATTGCACCAGCCCCACCCATTGAAGGCTTTGCTTACAAAGGACAGCAGTTGATCTGGGAACGGAGGGGACAGTAGACTCTCAAAACTGGGATGTGACACACTGCCCCGGACCCTCCTGGGGATTCCCACCATGGTCCTGCTGCAAAGGTCCCCCATTGTTGTGAGAAAGGGGAGGTCTGTGGCTACTGTGCTTAGGGCCTCGCTGGACTCTGCCCAGGGTCTGGCCCCTGGCTCTCCAGCCCCAAGCCTGGTCAGCAACCCCCACCCCCACCCCCCAGCCCTCTCCCTGTTCCCACTTCCTTATTTGGGTTTATCACACTGGAAGGAAAAGGGGAAATTTTCCCTTCAGACTGGCCTTGAAGGAGGGGGTCTCCTAGGCCCGGGGAGGGCGCCCAGACACCCCTCACCCGCACACCTGCCGCCCAGGACACGCCCCCAACAGTCCCCCGCCCCAGCTCCCACGCCTTCCAGCCCCACCCAGCCGGAAAGGAGCCCAGCGTCTTCCAGGCCTGTGGCCTGACCGGGGAAGAACAGCAAGGAAGCTCTGGCGGCCGGCCGGGTGGAGGCCCCGGAGAAGGAGGGGCCCTGGGCAGCGGGCAGGGGGCGGTGTGAAAACGTGAGTGGGGCGCGGGACCGAGATGGGGTGCAGCAGGTGGGGGCCTGAGCATCTGGGAAGTACCAGGAGCAGGGAGGGTAAAAAGGGACGGCCAAGATTTATTGGGGTTCAAAGTCCTAGGCTAAGGAATGGGGAGCAAAGTTTCGAGGGGTGGAGGAACGTGGGAGGGACAGTCCACTGCTGGGGGCGGTGACTCGGTGCTCCCACCTGATCCTGGAGCTGGGCTGGGAACCAGAGCAGCAGGGCCAAAAACCAGGAGTGGTTGAAGAAGTGATGAATGGAGAAACTCGCTCAGGGCCCGGCACCGGGGACAGCGGGGTCGAAGTGGCACCCACTCAGGATGAGGGCACCCCAAGCCTGCTAGGGCGTCCAGCGCCATAGGGGTCTGGGGACCAGGCCAGGGTCTCGGACCTAGAATTACTCTGGCAGGGAGGGGTGCAAAGGGCAAGTGAAATGGGGCGCGGGATTTATTGGGGCTCAGAGTATTTGTTCCAAGGAGTGGAGATCACCGATTTCCCCGAGCCGAGGAACTGGGCTTTGTAGGGGGGACAAAGTCTTCATGACTGGGACCACTGGGGACTCAAGTTTCCGGAGTGCAGCCGGGCTGGGATGAGGGCGGCGTAGCCAGGCGAGGCCGGCATGGGGATCCCCAACATCGGACAGAGCGCGCGCGGGGAGTCCCCGGATCTGGGCGGCGCGGAGGGCCGGCACATTTACCTCGTCCCATTTGATGAACTTACTCCCGCGCCGCAGGGTCTCCACCACCGTGGGCGGCTCCAGTTGCAGCGCGTGGACGCCGGGCCTGGCGCCCGCCATAGCCGTGCCACGAGCCGATCGGGGGCCCCCGAAACCCGACGGGGACCGACGGT